CGGCGTGGGCGCGGGGAGACCGAGAAGCTGAACCTGGAGCGGGAGAACAAGAAGCTGCGGGAGCAGATTGAGGACCTGGAGGAGGTGCTGGCCCGGAAGCGCCGCCAGACGGCCAGCGCGCTGGACACCGACCTCAAAACCATCCAGGCTGAGCTCTTTGAGAGGAACAAGGTGAGGCTGCGGGGCACAGCACACACCCAGCCTGGCCATGAGGATGGGAAGCCTTTGCTGGCAGCCTGGGGGGGGTCCTGCTGGGAAAACCCCCAGGGATCAGGAACCGTCCCAGCTGGCTGTAGGCTCCTAGCCCCCAAACCCATCTCCCTTCCCCCACCTCAGTGTCCTCCTTCAAGGCCTCAGGGTGGGGAGCCAGGGTCTGGCAAGAGCTCCGCATGCCTATGGGCTCCTCCACCCCCTTGGGATCTCACCCAGAGGGCAGTGGGGCTGGGGGAAAGGGGCTCGCTCTCCTAGCAGTTGGTGGGGAAGGACCACGATGCCCATGGTCAGGCTAGCTGTCAACCCCGCATCCCTGGGACCATGGGCTGTTTTGCACCTTGGGGCAGCCTGGCACTCAGGCCCCCAACCCTGCCCTCCCCAGGTAAATACCCCTGTCCACTCAAGGGGCCACCCCGCCTCCTGAAGGTCCCTTCTGCTGTGCTTGCTGTCTGGTTGCGCCCAGGATGGGACGTGAACCCACCACCCTGTGCTCCCCATCAAATGCCCTAGCCCTTAAGCCACTCCAGAACCCAGTGTCATGGCAGGGGGAGGAGGAAAAGAGGCTGCTGCCTTGGACATAAAACCCACGTGGTTTGGGGGATGGGCAGAGCTAGACGCAATTCAACAACCCCCCACCCGGCGTTTGTCCTGCTGCGAGGGGTGACAGCTCCGATAACCCTTCCCCGGCTAGTGCCCATGTTCCAGGAGTCTCCGCCCAGCCTGGGCCCGGTCGCCTCCGGAGAGGCTCTGCTGAAACACAAGACGGTCCTGTCCTGAGGTCTCCAGCCGGGGCCACAGATACGCTCTGGATGCCCCTGTCGGGCTGCGCCTCGGAAGCAAAATCCCCTTGGGTGAGGGTCACTCGGCCTTTGGTGCCCTGGCCCCTGGCGAGTCAGTGATATTGCCGGAGCCTGGGGTCCCCGAGGAGTCGGCCCGATCCCGGCCCACGAGGCCGGTCGCTGACGAGGGAGGGGTGTGTGCCAGGCGGGTGGTGGGGCAAAGATGCCATGGGGGGGCCGGCTGCTCTGCTGTCCATCAGAGCAGCCCTCGCTGTGCCAGCACGCGGACAGAAGGATCCTGCCCCCCTTCCACCTCTCCACACGAGACTGGTGTGTGCCGGCAGGCAGGGGGCAGTGACGTGTTGCCTCTGCTGTCCGGTGTGCTCCCCCTCTCCCTGCTGTGCCCCTTCGCCCGCCCCAGCCCCACTGCTCCTCCGTGTCCCCCCCCCGGGGCACACCCCACTCCCAGCC